GGACAGACTCGGCCTCCTTACTAAACTACGAATAAAGTGCTCGCCATGGTGCCCTTAACTCGTTAATTACACTTGCAAACTTAATATACATGTCACAGAAATTCTACATTCAAAGTTTGAAGTCACTGGAAGGTTTGTGTAATACAGAGTTGTATATCGTGCTGTTTTTAATGATTTTTCTTGGAATACTCTCGAACAAAGAGTGTTGAAGAGCCCGTCTCCTCAGGGCATCTATTAAACGGACAGGAATCATTTCCCACAGCCCGCTCTCGGCTCGTCACGGAATCAATATCGTCTTTTATCTTATGAAACGTGCTCCACATACACACACCATCACGATCTCGCACCACTCACACTAGAGTTCACTAGGGTTGCTAACATACGAGAATAAATGAACAAATATGAGCTAAGAAGCGATAATTAATCCAAATTTCTTCGCTCCTGTCCATTGAAGGTATGCTCGAAATTTTAAATTAAAACTGGCTATTGGATATTCATTGTTTACGTGTATTTAGTACCCATTTATTTAGTATATGTATCACACTATTATTGTAGTAACATAAATAATAAGTCTCACCTTCTGTGTTAGTAATCTAATCTATTTCGCAACCAATTTAAAACAATGAGTATGTTTATACTTTATTTCTACTATAGTTTTTAATTATGTCATGTTATTATCTAATTTTAAATTTAATTTATTGTAATGATTACACAGTTATTGCAAGAATAATATGGTCATAAACATTGACACTTCTATTTATACATGCATAAAATGTGTTTCTACAACTGTTTGCAACTTACTTTACCTTTTACAAATACGTAAATATTAAACATTGATTAATAAATCATGTAAGATATAAATATTATTAGTAGATACCTGCAAAACCCGTTTGAAAATTATATTTATAAATAGTAGTTTCTAAAGTAAAATACAGATGAAAATTTTGTTCGTGCGTCACGTTCACGTTCTTACTCACATATACATTTTATTATTATGATATACCTAGGTAAAATTACAAGAAATATATTTTTAAACATATTTTGGTATTATAAATCAGATTTGATTTAAAATTTATTTTATTGAAACATTAGTATAATTACGCAAATGAAGCACGTTGACATTCTACTATACTTAAAATCTAATTAAATTTTTTTTTACTTCAAGCTACTAGGCATAATAGCTGAAACTATTATTATTAAACATCGTTAGATAAGGCATATTCTGTAAATAATATAAGTTTCAATATGATATGATTCACACAAACCACAGATGTGAAGTGTGAGCCAATTCATTGACATTTTTCACATAGAAACATCAAACTGTTACGCCAATTAAAATAGCTCGGTGACTTTTTGTGCCGCAGCCGTCTAACGGATGCCGAAATTTATTTGGGCCAGGAGTGAAGATTAATACGGTTCAAACGAACGGGCGCCTTGTTAATGTTTGTGTAAATACACCGGCTAAAATGTGTTTATTAGTCAACTACTCTCTTAACTGCGTAACAGCCTAGTACTCTAACAAAATAAACATGACTAATTGTTGCAGCGTTTTAACAACATTGTTCATCAACACATAAAGACCGTGTATACTTTATTTAAGTTCTGTTCTGAAGTCTCAAGCCAAAGAATTTATTTCTAACCAGTATAGTCTCGCGAAGCCTATAACATACTTAATATGTATATGCTTTCTGCCCAAAGTTTGCCCAATATAAGTAACATCTGAACATTGACAATTGATGAACGTAATGAATACGACTAAATGAGGTTGGGTTTTTCTTGATATAATTAAAACAGATGTTTAATGTTTTGTAACTTTTATAATATGTCCATATTATGGAAGCACGTTAATTTTTATAACAGTTCGTGAGATCCGAGCTACCACGCCTTATATCATACTTAATTACAAGCAATACTATTTACTGAAGACTGATGAACACTAGAAGTCCTATATTGTCTAGGCATCTATTACACTTAAGTATTAATAATTCTGAATCATTATCCTAAATTAACCCCATCGAGACTGCAATCGAAGTCCTTATTGATGTAATATATTATGTTTGCTATTAGGATCGTCAAGCCTGTAGAGCAAATCAGACCATTTGTAGCAAATAATATATTTAGAGAATACTACAACTTATACGGTATATTACAAGCCAAGTATAGATGCAATTCAAGTGCAAGAAACATCAGTTATGTAATGTCAACTTAGTCAGAAATACATCAAATCAATGTAGCATGGGAAAATATTCCAGAACGTATTATACTTCCTCTTTCCCTTATATGCACCGACTACATTACACAGGGCATACCGAACAAGCTTTCATCGACAGCAAAATCTTGATACACTACTTCTAATCCATCATAAAACATATAATCCCACTTATAACTTCAAACGTTACATCAATAAAATTTGAACCGCGTAGGCGATACAACAAGACCCATGCGTTGTAAAGCAAGTATGTAATTGCAATTGCGTACCTAAATAAAACAACGTTTAGTACTTTGAAGACTAGGCTTAGCCCAGTATGTTTATTCAACTATTAAGGGGAACAAGCTAAGACTAATGTAATAAATATTGTTCTCATTTATAGGCTACGTATATTACATGTACTAACATATCTTATTATTCACAAGTCTAATCAGGTAGTTTAATATATACTCGATCATAATTTAGGTATCCAGACTCCATTACAATAAAACAAGACCCAACTTAAGTAGAGCGATTACTTATTCAAATGATTCACGTTTGAGTTAGTCCTTAGAATCCTTAGATAGAAGTTCTTTTGCAAAACGAATTTCGACAACGTAACTTGACGAAAATTCACTTCGTGCCTCTTCGATAGACGACGCTCGAGAGACACAAAACAAAGTTTTGTCACAGGGGCTTTAAATTCCCTAATGTTTGTCAAAACATACTTAAACCTGTCAGGAGGCGCTTAAATCAATTTATTATACAGGTACTCGGAGACACTTCGGCAACGAGCATGTTTACCCACATGTATGTATGTAAATCTCACGTTCGTTGCTTCTTGAAAAAGCCGTATGGAAAACTCTAAGCCTCTTTTATATTCTTATTCCTTATCCTTGTGGGATAATTCAGGCCCATAGGACAGGTTTTTACATAATTTCACCGCGGGCCTTTCTATTCACCTCTGCATAGTAACATTTTTCGCGTATTTTTATTGGTCACACAAGAACGGGCGCTGTTAAATTAGTAAACATTCAATAAATCACCATACCGTAATACAATTTTGGAGATCGTAAATAAAATTTGAGCAAAGGGTAACGAGTTTTGAAAACAAATATTTTACAAAACAAAAAGGGTAACCGAGTGTACGCCTGTCGTATTTATTGTGAACAATGTATGTAGGGGTAATTGTTTGACATGCAAAGCGTAGAGATCAACCAGCCGCCTCTGTGGCTTGGCAGGGGAACGGAATATGTATTTGAATAGGTCTTTGAACTATCACAAGAGCATAAATGCATACTCATAAACTTGATGTACCTATTTAATACACTTACACGGACCCTAAAAACTTCTAAGTAATTATAAGTAAATTAACCTAAATACAAAGAATAGCTCTACATCATAGATTTAAACAACGATTAATTCCATTTTCAAATACAAAAAGTCATAGGTAAAAATACCTTCCGTGAGAACTGTCCCTTATCATTTTGCCGCAACTCCATCCCCTTTTTGCTCTAGCTTCATCCTTACAATAATCGTATTGGTTAAACGTCTTCTTGTGCTTTCTTATCCATGATTTAATTAAAAACTTGATCATAAAGTAGCATGGAACGTTGCTTATAGACATTGAATTAAATTAGGTTTTTATACATCTTCTATATACATCTAACTTCTATGCATATATATCCATATTAAGAAAAGTAGAACCGTCATAAATAAATATATTATAAATACCCACATGTATATGTGCGTGTACGCGCGAGCATGTAAATAAACACCGATGTTATAGAATATATTGAAGTACCTTCGAGACGATTATTACGTACAGGCATTCTTAAAAATTAAGATCTGATGACTCCATATACCCAAGAATTTCATTGCTAGATCCAATCTTCAAATCAGAACACAGACCCGCTGTTTAATGACAGAAATAACTCACAAAATTACTACAGATGTAGGTACTAATCTACCGATTTGTAGTGCAACTTCACTCTCCAGTCTCTCCTACTTCAATTATTTTTATAATAATTCATACTCTATCACTATTGCCAGATTCTTAAACATATTTTTATTTTCTTTTAATTTTGTGTTTATTACTGTCCGTTATTACCTATTACTACTATCATACTTACTATAGTCATATTATCTTATCATATTATATTAGTAATTAGTAGTAGCATATTACTAATTACTCTTAGAAATTAGGAATTTAAGAATGCTTCGTAATAGCTAGCTTTAAATAAGTACTGTCTACTTATACCTAAAACTATACTATTTTTATAATATAAGTACTTACTTACTTATTAACTAAGATATTTCATTTAAATTAAATTAATAGGTCATTTTATTTAGTTTCCGACAGATTGTATCCATTATATATAATCTACTATACTTACCCGTTTAGTGTACAATTATTATGGATTATAATAATTTTCTACGAAATATAAAAATATGCAATCTAAAAAAATAAGTATTCGACGTAATGCGGCATTACATAAAGAACACCCTCGTCTTTAAGAAGACAGCTTTTATTCACACTTTATACAACAGATATTCTTCAATAATACAATAGAAAACTTAACCGCGTCACGTGTTGGAAGCTTTCAACTTTACGTAGGTACGAAAGACGATGTTGCGTACATTTCGTATTTTTTGTTCGCTTGTCTAATAAGTCGGCAAGCTTCGATGGCACCTCGGCGCAGGCGCAAAAAACGACAAAGCTCAAGTGTAGTTAGAACGAGGGTCGGGACGAGGGAGCACACTGTGCCGCCTTGTGTCGTAGCCATAGCTAGCTAGTGATGAGTGAGTGAGCCAGTCGGTCGCGCACACGCATACTGCTAGCACACTATACCAGAACCGTAAAAGACTTACACAAACTACGTAACTAACAACAATGATTTTCCCTTTACAGTTAAAATAAGTTATACAAAATAACACGTATCTTATAGAAATGTTAAACTCAAAATAGTGAACTCTAAGTTGGATTACTTAACTCACGCGATGATAATGAACGTTTATACAATAGTGCAACTAACGATGTAAGTGATAAATGTTGACGTTAAAATAGTGAGATGTTGGATTTGGAGACCTATTTGTGAAGTGGACTGAGGTATAACACTCAATCAGGATGACGATGAAATCGCTGAAGTATAGCGAGCGGGAGGACATGATGGAGGGCTTCAGCCCGGTTCCTCCGCCGCTACCACGTCGTCAGCCTGTTAGAAACATCTACGCAGAACCCTTCGTAGATCCTAGGTAAGTCTTCTTTGATTAGTTCAATCTAAATACTGATATCATTAACATAACACATTTCGAATATTCATTTCAAAAATGCCATTGTTTATAAAGTATAGAATATCTACTTACTTAAAAACAGTTACACTAATAGAACCAGATTAACACTTATCTACAAGTAACTTTTGGTTCAGTATTATATACGTATCTGCCCAATTACTCCAAAATTAATAATGACACTTCCAGAAGTTTAATCTACAGAACAAAGTAAATTTATTTTAATAAGTAAGTGGTAATGAGTGTATAACCGACATTTTTACTAATACGTTTGATAGTGTTTACTTCTCTCAAATTATATAAGATTGGAAAGAAAAATAAACATATTTACTACTTTTGCTGTGTTAGCTATGTAATTATTTAAAACCGATTTGTTTCTTCTTTTAAGCAGAATTTCAGAACTTACAAATGATAATAAAATTATATTCTAAACTTTGTTGTATAAATTAACAAAATTATTTACGTATGTACTCAATTAGTTACTCGTCTATAAAATAAATAAGTAAACTAACCACCTAATATAATATGCAATAACAATTATGATAGCAAACGTGCAAAAGATCAGTTCACGAGTTATCGTTGTAATACATTAAACAACATTTTCCGTTTCAATACAAATTTAAACGTCTTATCAGTCTAAGATTAACAAATACAAAAGATACGAGTTAATTGTAATAGACGTTATCAAATACATAGACGATTCAACAGCGGCAAGATAAAGTACAACGCCTGAACCCATGGAACACATAAATTACTGAGCTTTTGATAAAGACCGGCTACATAGAAAGCTTACCGTGAACACTGGTGTTACAATCATATGGATATTCCATGCAACTTGTAAAATATCGTGTTTTTTTTTTACATTTTAATTTCATTTTTTAAATTACGTTTACAGACAATTAATAAATAATTACGTATGAAGAAATGTAATGAACAAATCTGATAAAAATGTAGAAAATATTAAATTCGATTGACTAGTTGAATCAGCCAGTAGCACTTGTTTGCTTTCCTACCCTATGAGCTCGCCGCCCCTTGTATTTGTATCCACTCTTCAAAGTAATAATAAAGTGCCTGAAGCCAAAAAACATCTATTTCATATATCACAAGACTACGTAAACACAATGAACCCCTACAAACCTCTGAAGACCGCAGAACATTATTAAAGTAAGGTACCACACAAAACTAATTCTGTGGCTCTTATTCGGGATCTCCTTGGGGAGTCGATCGGCATTTCCACTGGAAGAAATTTCCATTGCTAACCGTACCTACATACATGTTTCAATGAGTAAGGGATATGATTGTATGCAGATCTTATGTGTGCTAATGGTCGGTGGTGAACTAGATAGGAGCCAAACGGATGCGCAGTCCTATATGTTCCATCATAAATCATATTTTTATTCTTGGCGCACGTTCGTAGCACGGTCGCCGCCACCGCGCCCGCCCTCCGGCCAGGACTGAGTTCGCAGTTACCGCCATCTGTGACACCCCAATCGCTGTTCAACTTAATTTCGACAGATTCGAGGGTGAATCCGAACTATTAATATTGCAATATCTATACAATAACGTTTATAACATTACAAGAAAGTGATATAATAGAATCTACCTATAATGTTTCAAGTTTGTCATGTTTTGTAGCATATTTTTATCCTATATATATATATAATGTACTGATATAGGTAATTGTGATTAACAAGATGGTCTATTATTGTCTAACAATGAAATACTATTATTATTTTTAAATAAATATTAATCGTCTTATAAAATTACTGAATCAAGTAGAAACGAACCACGTTATGTTAATGTATCTATGTCAAAAACTAATTTATTATTATTGACTTGTTTAATGACAGCAATTTGATATGCTAGAGCGATGATCGATAACGGAACCACTAGCAGCCAGTGCGAGCGGTGAGTAAGAATGTAATTTCCTTTACAATGTGTTAACAAGGCCTGGACAACAAGGCAACTATATGACGGTTAAGTGCACGTAACAATAGCGAATAGATAGCATCGAGGAGCGCCCCTCATTGCTCGCTGCCCAAGCGCGTTTCCTTGCCACGCTTCGAGAAGGAATCTAACATTATAAAGGTAACAACTCTTAGCAAACATGACAAATGCTTGTGCATTAGACTGTTACGTGTAAAACTGTGAATGTAAAAAATAGTCTTGAATAAAATGTTGTTGATTTTAGCAATAAGGATCTTTAATAGCAATCTTACAAATTGTCTCATAAAAATGTAGATTTATCATCATTTTCAAAGACAATTTCTAAGAATAGACAATGTTGCTAGCAACATCAAAACTAGTTTTGAAACACAATTTAATCTTTGTGGTTGATGGACCAACACCACTATGCACAAACACAACACAGAATTGTTGTAAAACTCTGTAGTAAAAATAGATAACGGAACAACACTAATAAAACTATAAGAAGAAAGTATAGCGAAAAGCTAAATTCATAATCACACTTAATTGTATTAAAATACAAACCCATTAAAACAGCGCTTAAATTTTAAAGTTAATCCTTCAAAAATTTCATATTCATCAAATTTATTGAAGTTTCGGTAAATAACTAGACCCATACAAACAAGGTTAAATAGGCCTCATATCTGCAAAGACACGATCGGTAAACTGTGCATGGGAGTTTCGGACTGACTGCAAATATTTGGTCGCATATGGAGCTGGAAAGTTCGTCGGAGCAAGAAATGATTTCCATACGTCCCGGACAACGCAAACACAGTTCACCCATCAAACTCCAACTCAAACCTGCAACTTTGTTAATAGCGTTTAGACGATCGCTCCCGACACAAACGCTTCCCATCCCTGCTTTTACTTTGTTCAACATGGACACTATACTCTCAAACCGTATGTCTAATTAATGTTTGGTCAAAGATAGATCCTATACCATTTTTTGTGCTTGTAAATGTCTATGTAGAATCTTAGTGAACAATGAAAACCATGAAAAATATATTTACATTATACTACTTAAAATGAAATAAATGTAATCATCTAATGATACTTTTATATTATTATCATTTTACTCACAAAACAATAAAAACTGAACGTTATTATTGCATTCAACGCCAACTGTAGTTAAGAGAGTTTAATCGAATGGTAAGCAGCCTTTATGTAATATAGCAATTATAGTATCATGCAAGCAACTTTTACCCAAATATTACAGTTTGAATAGAAAAGTAATTCTTACAGTGAAATAAGAAGGTACGAGATACGAAGGCATTAGCAAGCTGAAATCGTAATAGAGTTGCCACATATCATGAGTATTTGATAATAATGGACAAATAATTTTCTCATATACATATATCGTATAACCATACCCCGTGAGATGAAACGTTTTTAAAAATATTGTAGAAAACCGATGGATGTAAGTGGGTTAGGTACATACATTGTGATATACAAATTCCGCATTGGACAAAAGACAGGACAAGGATATATTTATCATTAGTCGTAATAATCTTATTACTAACCCTGATAAAAAAAAAAACAAATAAACGAATTTTCATATTTCCAATGTTATTAGTAAGAATAAAGGATGTGTGTTAGGTGATTGTTTATTTTTCACCTCTTGACGCCTTAACGGGTCACGCGATCGTGTAAAATGTGCCATACACGCAGTATTTGGGATGGATTGTGTATTTTTATAGTAGTCAGTTTTTATCCCGGTCACGCGGATAAAGTTATGGACGCCGTTAGTTACAAAGTAAAGATTTATCGATTCATTATATTAATTACTTTTAATTTGTTTTGATGTACCTTCTATACAATTTATTTCATACTAGGCCCTCCCTATTGAAATGTGGAACTTATGTTCCCGAACCCTGAACTTCGAAAGTTAGACGTGTAGGTACATAAAACCTTTTACAAAGCCATTAACTGCAGAGCATAGTGATCGATTGTTAGGCCTCGAATCTTATTAATAGTTCGTATAATTAGAGGCAACGCCCCAACGGGCAGGCACTATGCGTTCTCTTTACCTTTTAGTGTTATGAAAGGGGCACTGCGTATAGCATCCATGTTCACTTCAAACCAATCGCTGCCCGCTGCAGGAAGTTCAATTATCTTCCTTTAACTTAATGTATAATGTCGACACAATCATTTCATTAAACTGAATCTTGCTACTTCAATCATTCATAGTAATTGGCTCTATCAAACGAAGCAATTAGTTTGTGTCATTGGTTATCGTGCCAGTCGTTAATATGATGCAGTATTTGCTTTATATTTATTGTTACCTCAAATTTTACTAATATTATGTATTGACATAAGCTGGAATAGAAGTAGATTGATGTCTTTACTTTATTTTGATGTTTCCTTAAAAAGACTATGTAAATTACATTATAATTCTATAGCCTTAATATACTTTCCTACTGCAGTTCAATCCCAGCTGTATAATAAATACCAAATGTTTGAAAAATAAACTATGACTTAAATATTGTTATTTGTTACTAATAATAGGCTACAGTGAATTGTTAGATAATATTCATACAGTTCTAATACAAAACCCATCCACATATTAGCAACCTTTAATATACAAAATACAAATATAATAGATAGCAATCAATCATATTTAAATGGTTTAAATGAAATAACTGATTGGAAGAATGGACACTAGTATTATCGAATATTCTAGTTTATTTCGGGAACGCGTCAATCCGGCCGCAGAGCTGACAGAGCGTATCAATAATGTATGAATCCGTATCTGGGACAAAGGATAATCCAAGTTTGCTCACAACGATACTGCTGTCACAAAGTCGGACATAAATCTTTCACGGTCATCCGCATACACCTATAATCTCCTGTCGTCGGCGATCCCTAATACTTATCTCGCCTAACGTTTGTAAACAAACCACTTTTCTTTTGAATAATATACTCGTTGAGGTGAGGCCCTGAATACAATGGCTCGGCTGTAATAGTTTCCGTTTTGAATAAGAGATGCCTATTGTCTGCTTTCAATATTGATTAAGTTCGTCTCAATCTACCTACTACAGATATCAGCACTGGAGATTGTTTTCCGGTGGAATAGTGTCAAAGTTAATTTTGATATTGACTGTTGCATTGAATACAAATAATTATTATACACTAGAGTTATGAATAACTTTCTATTACTGTTATTGTAGTAAGCACTTCATTGTTTCATATGACGTAATAACTATTTCCTTTTCCCGTACGAAATAGGGAGTTCATTGAACAGTTTATTGAATAATGATGGAAAGCTAAAAATACTTGGTAATATTCCGTCATCTCCAGACGCGGCGCATACTGAATCAGTGCACGGTGACAGTAGTAGCGATATCGGCCAGATCAGCGCCGCACAGGCAAACTATTTCTGTGACACATCGGCAGTTAACCGGACGCTTATCGGAATAGGATATTTCAGCCTAACTCGTTTTAAAAATAAACAAACTGCCGTGCCGTCCGAATAAATACAAGCCTCGCTTTGACACTGCCTCCTATAAATAACCGTAATGAATAGGCGGCTGGCATTCCCGCAGTAATATGTAATGTCGACGTTTCCTCGCGTGGATTTATTTCTCTCCTTATTTGAATATTTTATAATTCAAGAGGACAGGCTACTTCAATTCAATACAAATGATTTCAATTAAATGAAATGGACAGCCATATGGTGCTCCATTCTCTACTACCGATACAAATCCATATAATATATTTTTTTTATAGAAGGAGCATACTTAAAATGCACGTTTCACGTCTTTCAATTAATACTCCAATAAACTAGAATTAACATTTACGATGACTATTCGCAGTGAAAGTTACTATATAGTCCACGTGATGTAATAGTTCCAACTGCCTGTTGTAAATCATATTTCTGAATTGAGCGCACATATTTGGTGAGATGAGAGCCAACCAAACAGTGGACCACACAGGGTGGCTCCATTCGCCCGGACTCCTATGCTCCCCAAGAGATAACAAACGGACACACCGCTCTCAGCTGCACTTATCTAAACACTTAACTCGCGCCATACACAAACAAAGCTTCGCTCTAACTTACTTTTTACCACGAAACGGCTTTTCTTTTAACCCTTTAGGGCTTCGCGGTATTGCAGGCTTTGCGTGCCGAGTTCCTTTGTTTGTGTCCGGAAATTCATGCATTTTGCCGCAATGTGCAGTTAAGGGAAGACACATACTATTGTAAAAGGAATGTCCCTTTCGTTTTAATTTATTATGCAGACTATTTTTGTACTTAAAAGTGACATGACCAGTAAAGACTTTAATTGAACAGGTGCAAATATAGTGCATTAAAAAATACAGCGTCCATTTACAGTGGCGATAGAAAGGAATATTTATGACAGTACCACACAGATACTCCGACAAAACCTTTCTAATAACAGTTTTGGTATTGTCCAAGGTACACGTCATCGGGCGTGACTAACGAATGGCTCGCCCTACAGACCCTAAATTCAGAGTCGTAAGTATCAGTGAGGACTATGGAGCCGGTCTCTACGCAGGCTGCCGAACATTACCATAACTCTAACCGAACCATAAACGTAATTAGAGAGACACCAATAACACACAGAACTCTCGAGACACATTAATCCCTTTGATTTGATAGGGTTAACGCCCTGAGACATACATCAACCATTATTACGACCCATGGGATCCTGGTACACGTTTACAAGTACACTAGTTATAAAATAATCGTAACTCTGAGCAGTGACTGTGACATACGACCAAAATACAGCGTGGCACGTTCGCGTGGGCGATTCGGAATGAAGATCTCCAAGAAAACGAGTTAATGTGAGTTCTCTATATAGAAAGAACTAAAATACCGTGAGGTGCTTGGTAATTACCTACTTACTATCTATAATGAGTATTACCACAACCACCGTTACTTGACATTAACCACTTTCATAGGCTCCATATCTCAAACAGCTAGCTTACTGGTACTTTGCTAGTAATAAGTCTTTCAAATCTCATACTTCAGTAATCATTATTTTCTATTTGAACTTAATCATATCAAATCAAAATATCTTAATTCATACGTCTTTTACAGACTTTTGACCGTAGAAATGATATATCTATTCTACAGTCAAATCGGAGTGCTATCGAGCTAAGAAGAACTGGCAAGAATTTCCGCACTTAATCATTTCAAATGAGTTTGTACTTAATGGCTACAAAAATACAGTTTCATTTTTTAATATTTTATAAATCTAAAATGTGTCTAATGTATCTAAAATGCTTCAAATCATAATTATTTTTGTTTACCAATAATTTAGGCATTTTGAGACACATTTTTTACAATTAAGGGGTTAATTTTAATAACGTTCATTGTCAATATTTTAGTAGGTAATTAAAAAAATATCAAGTGAAATAATCCAATAATAGATCTTGGGAGTAAAACAGCAATCAAAAGTTTTACTAGTTGAAAACTGTAATAGAAATTCGTATCTATATGTCTCATTCCAGCTACTTGAAATTCTTTAAATTTTAATCAAATTACTAATACTAGGTTTAATTTATAAGAAAATCTTTAACTACAAATTAATTAAAATCTTTATTAACATTATCAGAAACTTATATTATTAAAACTGACTCACATAAAAATTAACAAAACACAATATATACCATACCAGTTCTTTCCATTTTTAACTCCTACTTAACCTATGATTATAATGTCGACAATAAATTTCGATAGATTATTACAGCGGATAATCGTTTTTCTTTTAGTTTAATGACCCAACATAACTATCATGGCAATTTAATGAGTTTAATGTACTTAACATTTTCTATTAAACTCTTAAATTTGAAACTACATGCACCTAAACTCAAATGAGAAAAAATGCATAAGAAAAGATTCTTAAAACTGTGAAACTTATTAACTAGTTGATAAGTTATATGTTTATATACTATTACTATGTAATAATATGTTATCTGTGCTATTACTATTATGAATATTACATGGAGGAATAACTAAGTTCATTCATTTAATCTTTGTCTTATATACTTAATACTGAACAACAACCATTTTTTTTTATTTTAATATTAAAAAAGTAAAAAGAATACTAAATATCAAAATTCTATCTTTTATTATGGAAAACGTTAATATAATAAGGTTGTAACTCTTACATGTAGTTCATATTATATTTGCCATCTTTATTCATATCGTAACAGAAAAAGAAGAACCATTTCCCATATTCTATATTCTAATGACATCTATTCAAATGTTATTTTGGGTAATATTAACAGATAGTTATTATTGCAATGGCTATCTTTCTTTTTGTTACTTTTTGAAGATGGTTAAAATTATTATTAAGAAGATAATATTTATATTTTTATACGTAACCTAGAAGTTATCTATTAACATTTTATCCATTATTTATAGATGCATTAAAGGTAGACAACTTGAACCCATTTAACCCGTTGCATAAAATGTCAATAAGATACGTTAATCATCAACGAGTGCAGCAGTTATTCATTGTGCAAATACTAAGTCGATTTGCAATTCAATGACTTAACAGTGTACCACGGATATAAGTTTAGTTTTTTATGTTAAATCAAATTGATTACTCATATTTCGGAATTCGATATTCCGGGAAAAAATAACGTATCAATGTACATAATTAATAAAATCAATTTTGCAGATGATATTTTAAGGCTGAAGAGTTACTATACTTACAGGATTTCGTCAAATCAATGCAAGAAGTATAGTTTCGTCAATGCGACTCAGTATAGCATTATGTATTATATTAGTATTATATTAGAATATATTTTAAATATTTGTATTGCTAACCACTGGAATTTAATTATTTCAAAGTTAATTCTGTAAAAGACAAAAAATTAAGTTTGTATTATTTAAACTGAATTTTTTGTTCCATGTAATAAAATTATAAAATTTGGTGTGATTCATAAGTTTTAAATATGCTAACATCGTAATAACACCTAAGTATACAATATTTGTTATTATTCAATAGTTTTTAAAAAAATATAATAATAATTTATGGTAATACACTTAAATGCAGTTTCAACTATTGTTCTTTTAAAAAAAAGTAAACAAGGAAAAAAATCAGTTCTACCTGATCACAAATTAGGTGGTAGAGCTATGTGACTTACCTAAGTAGGTGCCACCGCTACTTTTATTATATTGTTGTGATTGAAGGGTAAGATAAGCAATACAATGACATATGACACAGAACATCTTCGTCCTCAAGAAAGGTAATATATAAGAGTGCTATATAGTAGTCTTGCTCATTATCCTGTAGTTTCATTGCCTTATATGTATCACTCTTAAAAAAAAACAAGGTGCTTGGTGGCTGAAATTTGGAATAGTGTGAGAGGTTACCTGTGCATCAAATTCAAAATGCAAAACTTTAATATAAAAGAACATTATTTTGTTCGACTTCGTCTTCAACATGATAAACAAATTTCATTTGCACACATATTATATTATACCATCTTAGCACCAATTACATATACATAATAATATATTCTCCCAAAAACTTGGAAACATGCCATCATACCATTAACCACATGCAAATTATAATATCCATTAAAGCGAGACAATCAGACATTTTGATTTACAAAATTGTAGCAAGCAATAAATTGCGGGTTGTTCAAATGGCACAACGTAATGCCGAAATCGAAACCAACCGTGTTTAATTGATAAAATATTACACATGGAATTGTCCTTTAATAAATTTCACGGGCCATAGAATCGTTTATAGGCAAAAAATGTAGATGAGTGAAAATGTCAATTGGGTGTAACACAAAAATGGGGTGCAACGTATATCTCAGCTAAAATTTGGGTAATATAATGCTTTGAATTACTCACACAAATCCCCTTTTCTTTTGCCCTACAATCTGAAAAACTTACCACAAGTATCAAATAAAATACTTACTCCGTATACTTTTAGGTTTATAGTTTGATTTCAGTTAGACCCTGTATGTGTGATATGTATGACTGTTACCGACATAACAACGCTGTATGGCATTTTGTCAACCACTTAATGTTTATGGGTCACAGCTACTTGTGATTATACTTTTCTTTTATTGCGTATTTATTACACAGTTTCATTTTACAATAGCATTGTAATTAAATGTTCTATCAAATTGTGTTGTACGATATACCCTATCTCCAATTCTTCTCAGGACATGCGAGATACAGAAGAAAACTTGAAGAGGGTTGATTTTCATCTACTGTGTAATAGATAGAAACATTTATATTGAGCTATCACCTCGCTTAAATTAACGTGAATGGTCTTATCGATTGCTTTGAACTCGCAAGTTATTTGTCTTTCATTAGCCCCAGATCGAGGAAATCCAGTAATGGATCGTCATTTGTATCTTCGGCTGTATAAATAATGGCACCAAACGACAATCCGCACGCCTCAATGCCGCCCAAAACAAACATAATTAGAGAGATATTGTCCCGGCGCGTGTTGGGTTACGATGTTGTATTACACTTACCCTGCACCCACGCAAGTCTCATTTCCCAGCAATAAAGCCCTTCTCGAACTTACTAATATTTTATGTCAAATGTCCAGAAATTATATGAATGTATACTCGTGTAAATACTTACTCGGAAAAGCACAAAATGGTACGATAATACATCAAAAAGTTTCCTAATGCGGGTCGGACTCGTAGCCGGTCTGCGAAGCGTATACATTTCGAAAGTTGCTTATGAAAAGGTAGATGAGTTAGTGTTCTCATAAGCATCTCATTCCGTAGTCACTTGCTCACTTTTGTACTGTTACATAGACGGTAACGAATTGCGGCTCTGAGTGTAGGTACTCTAGTCTGTTACTATAAAGTAGGAACATGGAGAACGTGGACTATTTATGAACACGAATGTTACTTGAATGCATTCACTTTGAGCCTTCTTTATACATATAAATACATACGTTTTGATTAGTGGTAATAGCTAGCTATTTGGACGCGACGCGTGTGGTTGTGTACATAGGCTAGTCAAGGGACTCGGTAGACAGTACCCATGTCAATGTACGCCTAAAAGCGAACACAATCCATTATCGAAGAAGGCGGGGGTGGAATGCGATAAAATTTTTCAATCAGGCAACCGCCGAAAAATATTTACAGTGTAACCCGAGGCAGCAGTCGGGAGGACAATATTGTGGAACGATACCGAGAGGCGCCTGCGGCTCTGCGGCGGCACGGGCCTTCCGCCTCTTTGTGCCGGCGACTGTCGAAATAATATTGAACTCCGGGTGAAATACGAGCACCCGCCGAGGGACGCCTCCTGCGAAACCGTTTTTCCGTTTCACTGAACAATAGCAAGCGTTTAGTTTAGAACTTACATTTCGCGAAATCGGGTCACAATGATAGTTATCTAGCGATTTAATAAAAATACTCTTGTATTAATATAAGTCAAACACATTATTTGTTTTTAATTCCAGACTAGTTTTATAGATTCGAAGTTATATAACTTCCTTGATGATTGGATTGGCCTTTAAGTCG